TCACAAGCTTGCGAAGGCTTGCGATGGCAACGTAATCGTGTCCTCAAGCCTGTTCGCGTGCAAGTTCCTCAGCCGTAAACTTGCAATAGTGCCGTAATCTTGTCCCCAAACCTCGTCGCTTGTAAGTTGCTCACAGCCACCAGCTTGCGATGGTAACGCAGTCGTGTTTCTATACGTCTTCGTTGGTCAGTTGCTCGAAGCCACGTGCTTGCGACGGTAACGCAGTCGTGTCCACAAACTTCTTCGCGTGTAACTTGCTCACAGCCATAAGCTTGTCACAGCCACAAGCTTACGATGGTAACGCAGTCGTGTCCCGAAATCGCCTCGCTTGTAAATTGCTCACAGCCACAAGCTTGCGATGGTAACACAATCGTGTCCTCAAACCTCTTCGCTTTTAAGTTGCTCTCAGCCACAAGCTTGCGATGGTAAAGCAATCGTGTCCCGAAACCTCTTCGTTTGTAAGTAGCCCACAGCCACAAGCTTGCGATCGTTACACAATCGTGTTCCCAAACCTCTTCGCTTGTAAGTGGCTCACAGATCTCACAGCCACAAGCTTGCAATGGTAACACAATCGTGTCCCTCAACCTCTTCGCTTGTAAGTGGTCACAGCCAGAAGCTTGCGATGGTTACGCAATCGTGTTACCAAACCTCTTCGCTTGTAAGTGGCTCACAGCTGCAAGCGTGCGATGGTGACGCAATCGAGTCCCCAAGCTCTTCGCTTGTAAGTGGCTCACAGCCACAAGCTTGCGATGGCAACGCAATCGATTACCGAAAAACCTCTTCGCTTGTAAGTTGCTGCCTACCACAAGGTTTGCGATGGTAACGCAATCGTGTCCCGGAAGCTCTTCGCTTGTAAGTGGCTCACAACCACAAGCCTGCGATGGTAAGGCAATCGTGTCCCCAAACCTCTTCGCTTGTAAGTTGCTCACAACCACAAGCTTGCGATGGCAACGCAATCGTGACCCCGAGCCTCTTCGCTTGTGAGTTGTTCACAACCACAAGCTTGCGATGGTAACGCAATCGTGTCCCCAAATCGCCTCGCTTGTAAGTGGCTCACAGCCACAAGCTTGCGATGGTAAAGCAATCGTGTCCCCAAACTTCTTCGCTTGTAAGTTGGTCACAGCCGCAAGACCGTGTAGTCCAAGAAGCCGATGCTACCAACCATCGAGTTGCGTTAATGTGCTCCGAGGGTAGCTGGAGACACAGTGACAACAAACAAGAGATCTCAACCTTCTTGTGGCAGAGGCATGGTAAGATCGCAGATCACGTGAGGGCGAATGGACATGAGAGGTAAAACTTCACCGTTTCTCTTCAAAGGAGTCTCGTTGAATCTGGCATGTTGCACCCGGGACAATACAAAGGATGCAGCAACTGCTTGAAGATAACTATCATGATGACAATCACCACTTTGCTGAGCCTTCAGGTTTTGGACAACTCAACCGGCCAGCTCCGGCCGAACACACCTCAACTAAACCCTGGACCCCACAGAGCCCCCTAAACCCTAACTTTAGGGAAACTAAACCTTAAACCCTAATCCTGAAACCCTAAACCCTAAACCCAAAGCCAAAAACCAAATGCACGCGAGGCTTTGCAGCTTTGGCGCTCTCTGCTGCGCCTCTGATGGCCGAGGTGGAGCTCTTGTTTTACGGGCTCCTTTAAAGGGATCCTTCAAGGTTTGAGGTTTGGGGTTCCTTTTAAGGGCTCCTTCAAAGAAAGGTCTCCTTTAGGGTTTAGGGTCTAAGGTGTAGGGGTTCCTTCAAGGGGTTAATTTTTAATTGGTTAATCAAAAGTGTTTCTGGGAATGTGCCCAGTATGAGTCATGATCGCTCATAAAAAAACATGTCGTTGTTTGGCTCGGTGCCACTGAGAGGTTTCGACGATATCACCGGGCCATCTGGCAACAAATGGTTATTTAAGGGCTGTATGATGGATTGTTTAACCCTAAACCACAAGCCTAACCCTAAACTTCAACCTCTAAAGCCCGCGCCCCTGAACCAAGGATCCCACAAACCCTGAGCCCTTAACCCGAAACTGTAACCCCCCCGGCCCCCGCTCTCCCGCGAAACCCCAAACCCAAAACCCCAAACCCTAAACCCTAAACCTCAAACCCTAGACCCCAAACCTCAAACCCTAAAGCCCAAACCATAAGCCCTAAATCTCAAACCCTACACCTCAAACCCTAAACCCCAAGCCCTGAAACCCTAAACCGAGCCTCTGCTAGAAGGTCTCGAAGTTTGCGCTGAGCTGACATGGAGCACGATGATGACCAGGCACGTTCGGGGTTATTAGAACCCTAACGGGACCAAGTACCCAAATAGTAGGGTTTCTTTCAAGGTCCAAAACCCATTCAGAGTATGGATTTTGGGACCTAAAGCTCTACTATTTGTATACTTGGACCCTCTCGGGAAGGGTTCCCATAAGTGTTTTTAGAGGTTTCTTTGAAGGGGCCTGCAGGGGATTATTGCGAGGGTTCCCATAAGTGTTCAGGGTTTCGGGCTTTAGGAGTATATGATACAGTTATTATGGATTAGGGTGGCGTTCGGGCAGGGGTCATCGGGGTTTAGGGTTTCGGGCTTTTAGGGTTTTCGAATTTAAAGGTTCTATAAGGGATTAGATAAGGTTTAGAGTTCAGGGAGGCATTTGGGGTTCGTTTACCGGTTCGTTCCTAAACGGTTCGATTCAGTGTTTCTAGAGGTTTCGGACTTGGGGTTTCTGTTTAGGATTCCGTTTGAGAGGAGTTTAAGGGTTCAGGGCTTTGAGCCTTTCGGGTTCTTTCGATGTCTCGTTTGCTAAGGTTCCGGATTCCTTGAAGTAAGGGCTGCCTCCGAACCCGGAGTCATAGACTCTAACCGTCATATTTGTTGAAGCCTTGAACCCTCCCTCCACTGGGCCTTAAACACGCCGCACGTTACACCATTACCCAATCCCAAAGCTGGAAGCTTGACGCATACACCTCAAACCCTCAGCAGTTTACCCAGGGCCCTGGGCCCTAAGGGTCTAGAACCCTCGCACCCCAAACTATACAGAAGCACAAACTAACACCCCTAAAACTTGCCTTGAACCCAGAAAGGAACCCTTAAACCTTTGAGCCTAAACCCTAAAGCCTAGATGGAACTGAGCTGCAAGCTCCAACTAATCCCTAAAACCCTGAACCTTAAACCCTGAACCCTATATGTGCGAAAAGAAAATCCTAAACGCCTAGTCCATTTGAAACGAACCCTTAAAGCCCTTGGACTCTAACCCTAAACCCCAAAACCTTAAAACAGCCTACAACCCCCGAGCCCCAAACCTTGAACCCTCGACACCCCTAAACCCTAAACTCTATACCCAAAGGGTCCAAAGTACCTCGATAGTGGAATGTGGGGTTTCTATATTAGGAATTACTAGTATGATTTGGGGAAGGACCCAGGCTTTCTCAACTCATCTCGGCCTACGCTATCACATAGCTTGCTTAAGTCTTGACAGGCACGGCCCTGCACCGCATTCGTTGTAGATGATCTTGTTGAAGGTTGCTTCTAGCGGTAGCTGCTCCTGCAGCTCAGTCCGGTGCCCAGGGTGGATACTCGTAGCTGCGTGAGTCTCGGACTGCCATGATCTAGTGGGTTGTGGAGTAGTAGTGTTGCACCACCCAAAAGCGTTTCGTGGCAAACTAGTGGGTTTTCAGAGGTTTGGCCGTGAGCTGTGCAGGATTCCCATCACGTACTGCCGAGCCCCATCACATAGACAGGTTTTACTTTGTTTGGCTTCGGCCGCTCCCTGTCCTTTGGAAATGGAGACTACAGTAGTTTCCATTTGCTTTTCCAATAAGTATTAGTAGGGAAAAGCAACGAGAAAATACTGTAGTTTCCCAGTTTCTTTTCAATTCCTCATGGGTATGTGTTCACTTCTCCCTGAGGGTTTAGGGTGTGAGGTTTGGGGTTTAGGCCGTCGGCATTGGTCGTGATGGTATCGTGCTTGCTTGTGGTATTGACCGACCTGCCGCCATTAGCATGGCATCGCTAGAAGAGCATACTGTCGGCGAGCATTTGGCACCGGTATAGCTAAAGGGCTCTACAAATTGCCAACCGGCACAAGGCTGGTGGGGTTTCTTGGAAAGAATCCCATTCTTCTTCCTGCTTGCAGCCATTTGCTGGTCACTGCTTGCCTCGTAGCTTCGAACACAACGACATGACCTCTGCATCTCGGCCAGTTCCGCTCCGCCCTTTGGCGCCGCGTCGGATGCCACGAGTTGTCAACGTTTACCCGTCGGAGATCATTTGGGGTCAACAGGTGCATGAGTGTCCAAAAAGCAGCTGGGAAGAAGAGTGCAGGGCTTGGGTTATAGTGGTGCAGGCCTCACCCGGCATGATAGAGACAGCAAGTCCAAGATCCCGAAAAGGTGCAAGTACAGTGCTGTCTGCCACCTTCTTTGCTCCTCGGCTTCGACTTGGTTTCCATGATTGAAAGCCAAGCCTAAAACGACAAACGCAACATCTGCAAGGATCCATGAGATTGAGCCAGTGAGATCACTGCTGCCCGATCGGCCCACCAAGTTCTTCGCAAAGCTGGTTGCTTTGGACGCGGAGCTCTGCAGACACCGCCGGCTGAAGCCCGAGCAGGTCCCTGGCCGAGAGCACAAAGACGGGGACCATCGTGTTGAACCTCGTAAGTCCCTAAATCGCAAGACTTTAAAAGCCCTACCCTGCCTTAGAGCCGAAATCCAAATACCGGGCTGTGGAAATCCAAGACCTGAGCCTGGGGCAGAATTTCACCTGCCAAGGTTGCTGTCAGCAAGGCATTAAGTTCTGAGTTCCGGTGTGCTCGAGACGAGCCGCTGGAGGCCAGGTCTTTCGGTGCCGTGATTTTGTTTTCACGCTCCTACTGTGGATATCGATGTATGTAGTGGACCTGCCTCGAGCAAGATAGACCCTGTCCTTGTCAGAATATAGAGCTTGTTCCTGGCAAGTGTCGATTGCTTGTGTTTGAGCAGCCAGGTGACAACACGAACACAGGCGGCTACGATGTCCTGTGATCCGCGCCGTTGGACCCGAGTAGACGGAGTTGACAAAGGCCGTGTGGTGATTGCCCTCGTGGTATTGGACAGCGTCCTGGGTGATCAGGTTTGGGCCTTGGCGGGTTTGGCGACGATCGACGTGACGCGCACAAGCGAAGCTGAGAAGGCGTTGATGGAATTTGTCGGCCAATTGAACGAGAAGCTGCTGGATTGGAAGAGCTCTTTTGGGAGATCCGGCGTGGACAGGGGAGCCGAGGTCATCCATCGTTTCAGAAAACGGCTGTTGGGCATCGCGAGTTGTTCCAAGTGGGGCAAGGATCAACTTGACAAGATGAGGCCACAGACAGGAGCGAATCCTTCTTGGCCTCCATCCTTGCACCCTGTGCTGAATCGTCCTCTGGATGCCACACCCATCATCCAGCAAGCCGCAAGCCAGGCTGGGGAGATTTTGGATTCCGTCATCAAGGAAGATGCCTTCGCGCAAGCCTTCGCGCAGCATTGCCTGGAGGTTGCCTCAGCCTTCAACACGAGAGCGCGCATAAATAGGTGGCCCCACGAGATGCTGGATTCCATCTACAGCATGTCTGTGCAGGAGTCAACTTTGCCACAATCACGAATGCTGGGGACGCACTATCCTGAAAAGTTCCTGCGAGCAGACTGGCCGAGTGATGCGAGTTGGCATTACGAGATGCTGGATTCCACCTACAGCTTGACTGTGCAGGTGTCAACTCTTTCACATTCACAAAAGCTGGGGGCACACTATCCTGAAAAGTTCCTGCGAGCAGACTGTAAGAGTGATACGAGTTGGCATTACGAGATGCTGGATTCCATTTACAGCTTGTCTGTGCGGGAGTCAACTTTGCCACAATCACGAATGCTGGGGACACACTATCCTGAAAAGTTCCTGCGAGCAGACTGGCCGAGTCATGCGAGTTGGCACGAGATGCTGGATTCCACCTACAGCTTGACTGTGCAGGTGTCAACTTTTACACATTCACAAAAGCTGAGGCCACACTATCCCGAAAAGTTGCTGCGAGCAGACTGTAAGAGTGATACGAGTTGGCATTACGAGATGCTGGATTCCATCCACAGCTTGTCTGTGCAGGAATCATGTCTGCCACAATCACGAATCCTGGTGACACACTATCCTGAAAAGTTCCTGCGAGCAGACTGGCCAAGTGATGCGAGTTGGCATTGCGAGATGCTGGATTCCACCTGCAGCTTGACTGTGCAGGTGTCAACTCTTTCACATTCACAAAAGCTGGGGGCGCACTATCCTGAAAAGTTCCTGCGAGCAGACTGTAAGAGTGATGCGAGTTGGCATTACGAGATGCTGGATTCCATCTACAGCTTGACTGTGCAGGTTACAACTCTGCCGCAACAAATGCTGGGGGCACACTACCCTAAAAAGTTCGTGATAGCAGACTGGCCGAGTGATGCGAGTTGGCTTCACGATGCATTTGCCGAGGCTATCCTGAAAAAACAACAACAGGCCGTGCTTTTGGGTGAGCAGCATCTGCAAGTCCTAGGCCCAGGGTCTAGCTTGGATGATGCAGATGAGGCCATCGCAGCCGCCACAGAGATCTTGTTTTGGTCAAGTTCCTCCGATGATGCCCCAGCTGCATCCGATTCGTTGGCATCAGCGACCGCCACGGGGCAAACAGACAGCATGTGGGCGCGACGGATGCTGGCACCTGACACCTTGGAGCTCGTGAGACAGCTCGTGAATGTTTGGAGACTTGCGGCACATCGTGAGTTGCACCGTCATTTAAACACTGCTGATACCGCTGCTCTCCAGGATGCTGCCAATGTGGTGAACAAGTTCGTTAAGAACGACCAAGAGTTGAACAACGCAGTCAAAGCGAGGGTTCTGCTTGTGAACGAACGGCTGGCAAAGGAATCGCAGGATGCAGGTGATCTGGATGGTCATTCCTTGGCATGTGCTGTTGTACAGGCATTGGAGCCCAAAGTATCCCTCATATTTCTGCTCGACCAATCAGGTTCAATCACTCAGCCTGTTTTTGACGGCATCCTGAAGAATTGTGCCGAGCAGCTCGTACAGTTTCTCGTGCAGCGACGAAGGGAGGTTGGTGGGCTTGAGTTTGCAGCCGTGGCTTTTGGGCCTGTCGAAACAATCAGCGGCTTCACTACCGAAGGGCAAGTCTTTGCTGACAGAATCAGAAAACACGTCTATGGCGAGGAACGAACTCCCACTGACAAAGCCTTTCGCCGTGCGCTAGACTTGTTTGACGAGCAATCTTCTTCGGCTGCCTCGGCAGTACGATTGGTCTTCCATTTCACGGATGGTGTTCCCGACGAGCTTCAATCGGCAAAGGACGAGCTGGCGGCACTCCAGACGCAGAGTGGCGCGGTGGTGGTTGGAATCGGGATTGGCACTGGCATCGAATTTGGCCGACTGAGAGCAATTAGCAGCAAAGGCTTAGCGATTCACATGGCAGACTTCGACCACCTAAGGACGAGTCTACATCGAGCCTTCGAACTGATCGATGAGGCACAGGCGCAGTGCAAGAGCGTGAGTTCAGAGGACGTCTTGAATGAGATGCAGCGGTCGATCCAAAGAGCTGTGGCCTGACGGTCACTGACGGCTTTGCGGCTGAGGCATGGCACACGTCCCCTGGGTCTGCACCCTCCTGGCAGCAACCAAAGTGTTATGCTACCTTCGCAGGTCGCCTAAAAAAGTCGACGATTGAGCGAGCCTCTATATGCGGAGCTCCACCCTAAAACCCAGAACGCCAAACTCGAAGCTCCAATGCACCGGAATCGCCTGCCAGGTCGATCGCTGTAAGGCCGATCCTTACTTCGTAGCGCTTTCTGGAGAGCTCGATACTTGGGACCCTCCTTGAAGTGTGGATGCGAGGCCGGCGCCTGCCGTCACCATGTTTCGGAGATATTTGGACTTTTGGGGTTTAGGGACGACGGCTGTTCAGAATATTAGGGGTTTCGTTTTCGGGGTCCTTGCAACGAGCATCCTGCCATTTAGGAGAGCTTGCTGGGGAAGGGGTTGAATTTCGCGGGCTTCAGACCTAAGCCGAAAGACCCTCACAATCCCGAAGAACGCCGCACGCGACCCTCGAGACTTCCCTTGAGCTGGCGCTAAGCCCAACGCGAAGTCCCCCACACCTGCGCCTGCGCTCCGGCGACTCCAAGCTGCTGCGGTTGCGGGCAATGAGTCCTCTTTGTGAGCGCTAACAATGAGTTATGGAGTGCGGAAATACTCCAATCATTAGTCAAGGACGCTCTTCCCGCCAGAATACCATGAGCCTCAAGAACATGCGTAGCGCCTACTTACGTTCCAGTTTTGCTTCTGGTAACTCTGCATTTAGTCGTTTTCGGTGACCTCATCGGGCGCACGTTACGGCGACACATTTAGCAAAGTAGCTGTTGCCGACCACATCGGGCGAGACGTGCCATAAAGCATTTCCTCGGGCAATACATGTAGACTTACATAGTGACTTAGTGACGTAGGTTCGCGCTTACAAGATAGTTTCTGATGACCAAATTGGGTGGTGCATTTGGTGAAGCCGTTTCTGGAGTGCACCGGGCGACAGATTTCGTCAAGTAGGTGTTGCTGACCACATGAGGCGACACATCTAGTAACGCAGTCTTTGGCAGGTAGGTGACCCACCGGCGTCGTATGCATCTTTCCTCGGCGGAAGTTTCAAATTCCTCGTACAAGACTCCTGTCATGTCCGCTTTTGGCTCGAACGGGCCGAACACTGCGTTTGTGCGAGTTGAATCCAATATCATGACGTAGCATCCACATGTTTTGCTTTGTCCTCAGATTCCACAACTAGCTCCTGTCCATTAGTTTCCCACCTTCAACCCGCAATCCTGTGCGGAAGGAATGGCGAAAGTGGATGAAGAGCGAGCACAGCAGGCGCATAGTTTCGGGATGTTTGAAGCTTGACGGGCCTACCTCGTAGACCTCTCGCAAAGCACTCCAACTGCAGGATTTCCATGTTGTGCCTACTTGTGCCAAGGCGCTATCCGATATCCCCAAACGCCACACTTCTTACTGCCGCGGAAGCTTCCCATGCAGAATGTCTTGCTTTATGCAACTAAACCAGCACGTCATGATGCCTTGGAAGGTTACACACTGCCGCTGATTAGGGGAACGGATCGGGATGACCTTCGACAAGTGAGGGACTCGACCCCTCAAGCCCGTAGAACAACGACCTGTCTGCGTGCTGCCGCGCAACAGAAAGACTGCAAGCTGTTTGTACATGCCGGCGGAGTGGACTGGACAGACCTTTGATCTACTCTTGTAGTCATAGGTTGCTCGATGCTCCTGCGAAGTTCTGCACGCTCACGCGGCAAGGTGCATTAACGGGTTCTACACCCTGAAGCCCTAAACCTCAATTCCAACCGGAGGACCCAGAAACACCAAGTTTCAACTAGACCCTACTGGATCTCAAATCTCAACCCGAATGATGCTAGCCTTTTTTCAGAGGTGTGCTTACAGCTTTTCCGTTTGCCGTTTGAAAAAGAAGACGCGCGGGGAAGGAAGCGAGTTTGCAAACTTGACCTGTTTGGTACTTTATAGGCGTGAAGGTTGATTGAACACGAGAGTTGAGGGAAAGAAGATGTCGCGTGCAGCTGCAACGGTATGTGCTTGCACTTCTGGACCAGGGAACCGGCTTTTCAGGCTTCTTGCGGCCTGGTGCAGACATCTTCACGCTTACAGCTGGTGGGAGCGCTTTGGAGTCTGAGTCTCTTCATAGGCACAGCCTTTGAACAGTCTGCATCTCCACGACGTTTGCCCTAAAACGATGTGAATCTCAACACCCTGGGGCGTCTCTCAAGCTTACGAGGTGCTTAATGATGAATCCATTGGCCTCCGAAATTTGCCTGCCTGTCTACTACAAGGCATGCTTGGTCACCTCCTCGAACCTCTGTACAACCACCCCAGGCTCAAAATAAAACCAGCCTCCCTAAATCTCAAGCCTCGAAAACCTCAACCCCTTCACCTCTTCAGCAGCAATCCCTCCTGGATCGCTCCCTGGTTGCGAGTCTCCGGGCTAGGGTGGAGATGTGGCTATTGGATCTCTGGTTGTGGGTTGAACTTTGGGGTCGCCGCTGTAGGTCTGTGTTTAGGTGTGTATGTGTATGCATATGCACCACAGGCGCGAGTTTGCAGCTTCTTGTTTACAGACAACCGGCAATATTTTTGTAAGATTCCCTTGTTTGTCTTTTATTTCATATCTGTGGAGATTGAATGCAGCAGAACCTGGGTGCTGTGTGCTGTGGCGTCGCGGCTCATCAGCGGTCTTCATGCATGCAGCAGAAATGCAGGTTTTGCCACAGTTCAACAAAACTTTGAATCTCTTCAGTGTAAACCTCATGACCGTTGCGAATCACACCGACTGCAACATTGCCCTACTATTAGACAGCCCGTGCATCCCTGGAAGCGGTACGGCACGAAGATTGATTCCAAAAAGGCTCCTGCTCGGGTTTTGCGCTTCAGGTTTGGCTCTGTAGACATTTAGGTTATGGTGCTGTCGATTTCCACAGTTCTTTTGTGTTGGGACTAAGTCGCGGTCCACAACCGAAACGGACTGCACCACCGCAAGTCAGTCACAGAGTGTTGAATCGACTCCAGGCACATGCCAAAGGGTTTAGCCGTCAAGGGTTCAAAATGGCTTGTAAGAATTTCCACGACATCGGCCATGATACCTGCTTTTAGCTTATAAACTTCTCCTTCGGCCATTGGTCTCAATTTGGAAGAAGTGGGTTCAAGACAGGAATAAGTACATTGAGAGTGCAGGCTCTTATGGGAAGTGGAGCGGGGCGCTCCTTGGACGGGGCTTCTCCCTTCCGTGTCGACAGGACCGAGAGCAGCCCTGCAGCTTCGTGCTCGGTGACCCCTCCATCATCAGGCCGCGTTCTATTGGTCAACATCAGACACCCGCAGAACAATCTTTGTCGCAAAATATCGCAGAACTTTTGCAGCTTTGAGTGCGCGCCTTGGGGTGTGAGGTCTGTTTTGGAGGGTGCGGAGAGAAGCTACATCTGCTCAACGGATGCACAGTTTTGGAGATAAAGCCTGTGTCTTGGAAGCTTGAAAGGTGGGGTTGTCCGTGGTCACACCTTCGTGCACGAGTTTTCAGAGGCTGATGCAAAACCCTTGGCTGCAAATGAATAGCCTCTAAAGCAGCAGACCCTGGGCTTACCAGAAAGTCTGCTAAACCCTTGTAAATACCATTTTGAGACTGTAGAACTAGGATCAACGATGAAGCCCTGTACAGTGCAGGAAAATCCTGTCCCGGCCCGAAGCCAGGAGCTTTTTTCTTATCATGAGCGTCGCATGAGTACTGTGTAAGGATTATGGGTCTAGGTGATTGAGGGCTTTCGGTCGAAGAGGGGGTTGGCAAATCCAGGGCTCATGCATCTCCTGATGAGCATTCATGAAGCACGGTTCAAATCTCCGGAGGTCAGCAGGGCAGCTGAAGTCACATCCGCATTAACTTTATATATAGACGCATTCTAAACACTTCCACTGTCGTTCAAGGATTGCTGGCTATCTGCCATGAGTTGCGTCCTTGTTTAAACGACTTCGCAGTTGGCATCTTGTTATGCCCTTCGCTGGTCCCTACATCTGAATTTCTTCCCAAACAGAGCAGGTGTAACAGTGATTTCGTGATGATGTAGCTAGCTCTGATAGCTTGGGCGAGCTTCTGATGCTATGATACACAGACTATGGCAACAGCGACAACATGGCTTGTGTAATTGTAACCAGTATTGCGTGGCAGGACTACTGGATGTTATACAACAGCGATACGTAGACATGTTGTCCAAAATCACGATCGAAGCAGCAAAACGGACGACAGCTATTTGATGCAGCAGTACCAACAAAACTGAAAACTAATAACGGTATACAGCATACAGTAAACGTCACCGCAGTAAGACCCCGCAACAATCTTGAGACCACATCCGCATAAAGCCGAATGAAACCCTCAAGCCCTATTGCGTAGCAGGTATGGGCAATCTCACTGGGAGGCCGGCTTTAGGGCCTGCGGTGTTCAGGCAGTTGCGGCGGTGTTTCACTCGCAGCGCAGCGCCTCAAGTGAATGATCGGGTATTGAGCGATGAATGGCTGTGGCATACCAACAAGGGGCAAAGCTCTGCTTCCTGAAGTTGGGTCCAATACAAACAGCGTCGTAACACCACTTAACTTCACACCTCCTAAAGATGTGAAGATAAGCTTGGAAAACTACAGAACAGTCAAACCACGCCTCAGTTCTCCGCAGATCTTGGAAACCAATCCTCAGACATCCTGAAACTCTGAGACAAGTCTCTAAAAACTGCGCAGACCAAGCCTCAGACATCCGAAAAAACCATGTGAGAAGCATCCCACAATGAACCCGAGCCTCAGACCTGAAATGGCAGCCGACACGCCACCTTTCCGACCTCGACCGGCAGAGCGTTCCTCGGCGCTTCGGGATGTTTCTGAGGCCTTAGGTTCCTTCTGGGGCTTAGGGTTTGGGGATCCTTTCAGGGTTCCACTAACGGGTTGAATCAAAGGTTACAGCCGGGTTCAGGCGTGTGAAGAAGGAGGCCTTGATGATTAAAGTGGAGTTTTGGAGCATATATCATGCTGTAGTCACGTAACGATACAAAAAACCGGAGCTTAAAGCTTTCACTGCGTAGCGAGACCTCGAGTATTCAGAGGCTAGAGGCTGTAGTTCTGTCGTCCGACCCGATGCCATGAACTTGGATTGCACTCCATCTTGTCTGCTTGTCTATGCGAGGCTTGCCGCGACCTGTTGAAGTACAGACTTCACAGGCCGGAGCCTTTCATTCGCTTTGTGAAGCATTGCGTCCTTTGGCGAATCACACGCAGACATTTCAAGGGTTCATTTCGTGCCGCGACTCCGAGCCCAGCGAAGAACCCAGGTCTTCTTTGCAGGCATCCCGTCCGACATGGACGAGGCCCCGAGATGGTGTTGGACCTTCTGCACAAATATCCCTGGCATGGGGTTCCTGGATCTGCATGGCACAATACCTATCCATTGTTCAGGGCCATGTCCTGGGCATTTTGTTTCTTTGTAAAACCTAAAATCTTTAAGGCCTAACCCTACACCCTAACTCGCTAGAGTCACTAGACCTTACAGCCTAAAGGATGCCTCAACCTCGCCGGTGCTGGTGTTTTGAGGGTTTGGCCGAGCTTATGTTAGGTGTATGCATCTGATATTGATGATTCGCTTAGCTTATAAGCCGCGGCAACAGAGTAGAAGCAAGCTCGGTAGCAGCTGCAATCGTAGTCAGAGCAGTGAGACAGCATGAAGTGAGACAACATTCCAGAGAAAGGATGTTGTACTCTTGGATCCAACTGTGCGAAGGTAGGATAGGTGGGGGAAGCTTGAGGCTCTGGCTTAAAATTTCACCTGCAGAGCTTGGGAAGTGGAGGACCTTGAGATGCGAGGATTTGTTCGTCAAGTTTGAGACTGAACCGACATACCATGAGCCTGCGAGCAACATCCTTAACCTGTATGGCTTGAAATTTTATCGTGGAAGAACCGTTGACAGCTTGATGTTTTGTCAAGGCTGCCCGAACCAGTCTTGATTTCGAGGCAACAACATCGAAGACCGCAGTTGTTGCACCCTTTGTTCCCATCTCATAAACGGCCCCTTCATGCTCGCAATTCAAAAATACTCATCGCCCTCTGACAGGATGCCCTGCGAGCCTTGTTCCACCAGGTCGGGGTGGTCAAGGCCCTGTTCTGGGTGAAGCCTCGTACCGGGGGAAGGAAAGGTTGCTGAAGCACCCACGCACAGAGTCTAGCATGTGGTTGCGGCTGCTTGCTGCTTCAGTGGGCTTTAGCCGAAGTTTTGCCCACCAAAGCCCATCTCGAGGAAGCCTTATACATCGGGGCACAGGGTGAGGCACGATCACATATCGTTGTTGATGCTGACTGCCATAATTGTAAGTTGTGTTGACACAGAAGCCCGGGTGTTAGCAGCAGCGCAGAAACATGCGTCAGACATCCACTGGGCTGTCGCCAGGAACTCACGCTTCTGAGGCGCGAGGCCGGAAAAGGGCTGATGCTACGGTGAATTCCGCTGCTGCTGCTGCGGTCGGCATCGCCGCTTGTAACACCTTCTACTTCTACGTGCAATTTCTAGAGGTTTCATTTTCAATCGGAGAAGCATTTGGCTTCCATGTTCATGGTTTCGGCATTTGAATGTCGCCCGGCTTTGAAAAGCACGAGATGTCCAGCCCCAAGCCCGCCAAGGCAAGAACACCCCAAACCGATGATAAGCTCTCAGACCTGACTTTTGTGATGCACTCCGCAGTCAGAGGGCCTGAGCCAGAACGAAGGGATGCACGACGCTTTTCACGGCGATGCGTTTCTTTCCTACACAAGGCTAACCACACAGCCAAACAGGAGCCTTAAATAAACCCTGAGCCAGGATGGCACTTCGCGCGGAAGGGGTGCTGGCCTCAGCACGGAGGTGTGGGATAGCGTGCATTCTCTCAGTTGTAGCTGCAGCCTCAGGCCTTGAAAGTCTCCTTGCAGCTCGGTCTGGGATGAATGTGGCCTCTACTTTGTGAGAGTGCAAGCTTTCAGATAACTACCCAGATACTCGAAAGGTGCTGCCTGCGGGTGCGTCGGGTCGCAAGTTAAGCCTATTCGGAGGTTCTCGCATTCTCGCCTGCATTTGGGGCCCCACTGTAGCGTGTCGGAGAGCCGTTGACTTTCGTTGTTTTCGTGTGAGGCTTCTGCGTTGTTGTGCATGATTCGTACTTTATGTTAAAGCTAGACACCCTCACCAGCCACGCTTAATCGTTGCTATTGTCCGAGGCACCTGCATCTTCGACGAGCCCCCCACGGCAGCAGCCGCCATCCGAAGGTTCAAATACCGTAATGTTGGGCCCTCAGATGACTTTTGGGCTTCAGGATGTCAGATCTTCGGATTTTGGAAGTGAATAGAGTGCTTATTGGCTATATCAATATCGACAGTTCTGCTTGCCAAGTCTAGTGCCGCAGAAAGGTCACGTGCAGCATATATGATCCCGGTTCTCGGTTCCCCCCCCCCCCCCCCATGGTATCCCCGCCCCCCCCCCCCCCACGCTCCCCAAGCCGAATCTGTGTGTGACTGCGCAAGCTTTTTTCCACACGAGGGCTCACACGCCAAGCAGACCCAAACCACACCACACACGAGGGCTCACACGCCAAGCAGACCCAAACCACACCACACCACAGGGGGGAGTGGGGTAACCAGCCTAAGCAGACCCACTCCCCAACCACACCATACCACAGGGAGGGGGAAGCAACCCACAACCACACCACACCACAGGGAGGAGGAACCATTGATGGGGGAGGGGGGGGGGGGGGCCGGACGAACCGGGATCATATACATGAGTTTTCGGGTTGCTGGTGTCCGCAGAAAGGCTGCAGAGGCAGGTTCGCGAAGGTTTCCGCCCAATTAGCGGGACTTGGGGTTCGTCTCTAGCTGACATCTTACAGTCTTCGCTCGTCGACATTCTGTTGAAGCTGTGTCCGATGGTTTGTGGTGCTTCGCGGTAGGACGCGAGAACCATGTTAAACTTGAAGTAGTACGCTGTGACCGGCAGGCTCTGTTCAAATTCGGGGTGGGAGAAGCTAGACCCCAGACCGTACATAAATTTGGATGCCTCAGGTTTCGGTTTCGGAGGACTTCGGGTTTCCGGCTTGTCCGAAGTGCCAGATCTGCGTCGCAGCTGCATGTTGCGACACGTTTCGAGATTCCAGTCGGCATGTCTTGAGACTTTCTGCATGGCATTTTGTGCTGGATCAGGAGCATTTATCAGATTATTCACCAAACAGCACGTTACACACCATGCTGCTCAAACGTCAACAGTAAAGACCCCGGAAAAGAAGCCCCGCATGTTTGAGCTTACCACAGGCCTGAATTGGGAACCCCCCGAGAAGCCGACCCCAGTTTCACAATTCTTCACTTGTCTTTTGAGGTTGGCGGCTCTATAATCTGGGTCACGGAAGACCGACGCAGAAAAGGCCAACAAGGGCCCATTTCGGGTTGAAGTGTGAGAGCTTGGGGTTACAAAGTGAAGAATTTCAGGGTATGCAGATTGCTCAGGACAAAGCCTCGCAGAGATGTGGGTTGGCCCTCTTCGTCGAGTTTTTGATTGGCGTTACTTTGCACAGGGCACTGATGCTTAGATCCCCACGACACGTAGCGCTCCCGCACGTGCGAACTCTTCAAAATTGGACAGCGGCCTTCGCTGTAAAGGGCTATCCTGCCGCAGGTCGAGCCATGCGGGACTCTGAAGTCCTTCATGCATCGTAAATGCGTGCACTCACGAGCCCTAGGCCGCTCGGGGCTTAAACCTTAAAGCCTTAAACTCCACGCGCCACCTGCTGCGTTTGAAAGGTGCTGCGGAGGCGCTGCTTCCTGCAGCGGTGTCAGCCTGAACCTTACCCTGCAAGACACTATGATTGGCTACCATCCCGTACACGATTTGGAACCTGTTGCAGACAAGGGCGGGTTTACCGGGACACAGGGGTTGAAAGACTTCGTTGTGCAAGCTTTGTCTCGGAGTCTTTTTGGCATACAGGGCCGCATGTCAGTTCACGTTGCCCACTCTCCATACAGATTGTGTGATCCTTCAACTCAGTGCTGTGTCAAGTGTCTTGAACTGTGGCTCTCTTAGAGTCTTAGAGAGATTGAAATTGATAGCCCCGCTTCCGGGGTGGAAAGAGGCTGGGTTGCTTGTGCAGTTTGATGGAGCCGAGTTCATGACCTGAAGACGTTTGGAGCGTATTGTGTTCCGACAACTCCCCAAGATCGGTTCATGCTGCGGGGGCAAGCTTGGAATGTGAGTACATACAATCACAGGCTCTCACCCACATGTTCAGGCCGGTAGTTGTGGGAACACCGACCATTCGAATGCTAGTCACTGGTCTTGGGCTGTGATCAGCAGCGGCCCTACTTGCCAAGCAGCGTCGCAGCCCGAGACTTCACACTTCAGATAGACACCATCTACTTGTATCGGCGGCAATTATGTTGAGTTTAACGCCCGGGGAATAGAACTCATGTAGCGGTGAGTTTGAGCTCACAAAACGACCGTGAAGTAGGTTGAGCAACTCACGTTAGGTCCCCGAGGTAAGGTGCAACTGTAGCTGCTTTTGACCGTCAGCTCTGGAAAAAGTCGACCCGCAAGCGAGATGTCATCATGGATGCAGCATAAGCATAAACGTGATGCCAACTATCCATCCAGCATGCATCACCCGCGAGGCGCAGAAGCTGGCTGAAGAGCAGCCGGCAGTTGCAGCTGCCCCGATGGACTCTTGCCAGGCAGAGGCTGGCCCTTCAGTAGCATCTCTTCCTACAGTCCGAGACGAAACGAAGGCAGGCCACTTGGACCTTGTGTTTTCAAGTTGGAGCTTGCAGCAGGTGGAAGCAGCCATGCAGCCAAAGGCGGAAGCAACCATGCAGCCAGAGGCACGTCTGCACGCACATCCTGCCATGCATGGTGTTGCAGCTGCTTCAAAGCTAGCTGGGGACGCTTGGGCGGCTACACAAAGCCCCCAGTAGCCCTAAACCCTAAAACCTTCAAGTGTCTAAGGCAGTCGGCCGAGTCCTTCCTCGCAGAGGTCCAGGCGGGTCCTGAAGCTGTTAGAGGCGTCCGCCCAGACGCTTTTGGCCGGCTTGCACTGTACTTTCAACCAGTATGTTGTGATGTAGGGGTCAGCATATCCGGCCGAAGTACTCCTTAGAACCTCGATTTAGGTCAGTTGTTAGAGACTTGGGGTCGGAAGCCAAACTGCACACTCCCGATTCCTAAATCCTCCGGCCGGGGTCCTAACCCCAAACCCTGTAAACCTGCGCTTCATAATGGGTTAGTGCTGTAGATCGATTGTAACAGGTTTCTTGTTGTTTGGGTGAGGGCTTTTGAGGGTTTACCTGGGGTTGCGTGCTGGTAAGTTCACGTCTTTGTGATCTTGGAGGTTTAGGACCTTAGGATTTGAGGGTCATGTTTTGGGGCTCACGGGTTACATGTGTGTTTGTAGATATTGGTATATGTGCGTGCGTGTGTGTGTCTGTGTCTCTGTCTGTCCGTCCGTCCGTCCGTTTGTCTGTCCGTCCGTCTGTCTGTCTGTGCGTGTGTGCGTGTATGCGTGTGTGGGTGTGTGCGTGTGTGGGCGTTTGCGTGTGTGGGTGTGTGCATGTGTGCATGTGTGAGTGTGTGCGTGTGTGGGTGTGTGCGTGTGTGCGTGTGTGCGTGTGTGCGTGTGTGGGTGTGTGCGTGTCTGGGTGTGCGGGTGTGCGGGTGTGCGGGTGTGCGGGTGTGTGGGTGTGTGGGTGTGTGGGTGTGTGCGTGTGTGGGTGTGTGTGTGTGTGAGGGGCTGGTGCAAGGCAAGTGTGATTTGCTGTAGCCGTAGCCTTTTGTATCCCAGGCTGTGCAAGAGCACCACAAGGCATCACCCTTGGAGCCCGTCTCTTCACTTAGTCGTGCCGACGCCCACGAAAGATAGTAATGCAGGCATAGTCACACATGCTTGGAGTTGATCACCATCCTTGTAAGCTTCTTGTTTCGGAATTCAAACGTCGCTAGTCAGCCTCCACTTCCGATGTTCCAAAAGCTGATGACGGGACTAGTGGTCCCGAGCGGGTTTCAGGATAGGGTTGCTACAGACTGCTTGGCGCTGTTGCCCTTGATTCGTGTTGGTCATGCGAGGCTGGCAGGCCTCAATGGAGGTCGGCAGGGAAGGGAACTAGATTTGGCATCTTAGAGGGCCCTCGAGCTGAGCGTCATTTCAGATTTGTGAGCTTGTGCCTTGAATTCGTCTTAATCAGCCAGCATCCTAGGGTAAACGATGGTGCGACCATGTTTGCTGCAGGGGAGTTTTTGGTTTAGAGTCTAGAGTTCCAGAAAGGACTGCCGTGGCGCGTGCATGTGTGTGTGTGTGTGTGTGCTGCAGTAGCTTTGAAGGATGTAGTGATGGCCAGCCACGACACATCTCTCTCCATCCATTAACGGTTGTAGGGTTTATGGATCTGTTATAGCCTTCCAGCTCTGCAGCATTTCAGACACTTTCGAGTTTGCGAGCTTCATCCATGCCTGTGTCCGTTCAAGCTCGAAAAATTGCGAGCTTGCCCCATCGGAAGCGGCATCATACGAACATTGTAAACACAGGTGTGCATGTTGCATCAAGTGAATACCAGTCTTGGGATTGTCAACAAGAACATGGGGGATGCCAGACTAGCGGCGCACTCCTTCGCAGAGACCCTGTTTACAAGGGACCTCAAACCGGAAATTAAACGAACTTCCTCAAGCCACCGCTTTCATCAGAAGTTGGGGGTCGGGGGCAAGGGCCGGTGACCAAGTTGAGTATGTCCCTAAGAGTCCAAATCCTAGACTCTGTTGCAGCATGTTTACTATAGTCCCTTACAGAGTCGCTTGAATGGGGAAGCTCCTGGGTTGAGCGCGAGGGGAGGGAGGTAGGGAGCATCGCCGCTACCCCGAGCCGCTAACGCTGCTGGAACTTGAAGCCTGCCCCAAGCACGCGACAAGCAGCAACGCTTAAAGCAGCGCCAGGAGTTTCTGTCCTGCCCTCGGTCTTTGCTCAGCTCTGTGTGGCTTCGGAGTTCAGAGTTGAACGAACTCAACAGGGTTCAGGTGCTTGCGGTGATTCATGCAGCCTCTGGAGTGCTCTCGATGCGCATACGCATCTTTTGAAGGTTTGGGTGTCCAGAGCCCGCCCTCCGCGTCGCAGCCTTGGCATGGCCTTGTAGTGAAGGTGTTGTAAAGCTCTTCTGCCCAGACCTCCGAAGGGAAGCACGAGCTCTGATTGCTAGCAGTTAGGCGGCTAGGCGCTTCCATGTTCCATGCTGAGCAGCAAAAGGTGCGCGACCGGTCGCCCTCAGTACAAGGACCCTGGCGAGGTGTGTTGCATGTGCTTCCACAGGGCCCCAAGCTAATTAACCTGTACCCTAAACTTTTACGCCCTAGAATCCCTGCAGCCCTAACCGGTACATCTTGAGAAGCCCTAATTAACCTTAGTCAGAGTTTCGGTAGTGCCGCCTGAAGGCATGCGCACGATGGTCTAGCAAGCTGGAACCTCCCATTAAGCTGCAACCCTCAGCATCTCTAGACTTTGCATATACCAGTTGTGCATTGAACATGCGCGGCCTGGTCAAAAATCCTGCAGAGACGGTTTCTAGGGTTGCAGGTTTTAGTGTGGGCTGCTTTTGTTGCTCATGGAGTCTACAACTCCCGAGAACTGGCCTGCAGGCTAGGAGGGTTTCCCTGTAGTACCTCTCTGGGGCACGATCCTAAGCTCCAAACCCTAAGCCGTGGGAGTGAAAGGGACAAGGCTAGACGGTTTGATTTAGGAGTAACCCTAGGCACAGAACCGACATCATGAGCAGTTGCATGAAGAAGATGGATGCTTGCAGATAAGTCCGGCACGAGCCTCTTCTGTATCCGTGTCTCTTTCGATGTGAAGCTTGCACTACTGTGTTGTGGTTGCTGGCAGTCTCTTACTTGGCGGCATACCAAAGCTTCGGCAGTCGATCCTGACAGGCCGCTGTGAGTCCCCGGAGCGCGATCCAAAGCGCATTAAGCTCCAGCGGGCCTGGGTCTCGTCTGCTTGGGGCGAGTGCGTCTTTCGGGTAACACAGGCCTAAAACTATCGATACCGTTTTTTGGGTGTTCCTGATGACATGTAATAGAACACTAAACCCCAACCGATTCTCACTGCGTAGGCCGTACAGTAGTGGCATAAGGTTGGCTGTGTCCATACAGCACGTAAGTTTGAGCACTGAGGATATCGCCTCTATGAGCCAAAGGCTTCCTAGCTTGCAGGTCATGAGGCCCCCAAACCCTCCAATGCGCCAAACTTCTATCGGCATACTGCAAATGTCACCTCACAACCCGTGAACCCCTCGATCACTGCACGTCTCGTCATAGAGACCCTGTTTCACCAGAAGACCAAAGCTTAGGTGGTCAGAGAGGCAAGGACGAGGAAGATGTTAGACAGATCTGGACAAAATGTTGCTTATGCATGCATGGTGTGTGCAGATCCTGCGAGCTGAGAGCATGTAATCAGCTGTAGATTATTGCCATTTGTGTGCTGATCGCAGCTAGCATCAGCAAACCTACGGCAGACCCCTCCAAAGACCAGTGGCGTTGAGTGGAGCTGATGCAGAAAAATCCTGCATGCAGGGAAGGACGCCGCCCAGAAGGAAGGCCTCCCATGATGTGGATGTGGATGGGATTTGCAAATTCGGAATTTCAGCGTTTCAAAGTCTATCTTGTGAAACTTGTTTTGGGGAGGCACTTGTGCTGCAAGTCCCCTGCAAAACCAGGGTCTAGCTCGAACACGAAATCCCTTACTTAAATCCCAAACCTGCAGTCCTCAAGCCGTGGCGACTGAAACGCCTTGGACTGATCCAACTCCTCGCTCCTTGCTTCCAGATCCTCTGGGTTCGCAGAGTGCAGGCGGGGCTACTGGCCAGGGGAGGGTTCAGGACTTCGGTGAAGCAGCAGGGATATCCATCCCTGCTTTTTGTGTGGGCTCAGCACGCAAAAAGTCGAAAAAAAAAACGAAACGTCGAAAAACAGGAAAGCAACGAATTACGCGAAAAAACACGAAAAGTCGAAAAGCACGAAAAACGCGAAAAACGTGAACAACGAAAAGCAAAAACAAAACCTTTGACACATTGCTATTGTTACTATTACTATTACTGTGATTAGTACTAGCTAATACCTCGTGGTTTTCACGTTTCCGCTGTTTTTCGCGTTTTGTTGGCCTTGTTCGCATGTTTCGCGTTTTTTCGTGTGTTTCGACTTTTCGTGTTCTTCGCGTGTTTTCGTGTTTTTTTGCGCAGACTCGTGTTTCGCGCTTTGCGCCTTTTCGCGGTTTTCGCATGTTTCGCGTCTACGTGTTTTTGCCGAGCACTGTTGCTGGTACTATTGACAACTCTCTGTTTAATACTACTTCCGGTTTGCATGACACTACTGATTCTGCTACTCGTAGTAACACACTACTTCTAATGCTAATATTAATACTGATATTCTGCTACAAATATTAATCCTAATGTCTAATGTATTACTATTATACCGTGATAACTCTGATTACCATTATCATTCTCATTACCGTTTATTACGTTTATGACTATACTACAAATATTACGAATATTACTAAACTTGTTATTTTCTTGCTGCTATTATTACTGCTATTATTGCTAATGTACCATTCTGAATAAGTTTCTGCTATTATGACTATTACTAGTTTTACTAGTATTACTCGCATTATTCGCATTACTTGTATTGCTCGTACTACTCACAGCACTGAATTTATTGGCATTACTAGTATTACTAGCACTACCACTATTTCTAGTATTGCTAGTATTACAAATATTATCTAATAATATTAGTATTGCTAGTATTGGAGGTACTATGTTTAGTATTTTTATTTTACGATTACTACTATTTCGCGTTTTTCGCGTTTGTTTGCATGTTGTTCACGTTTTTTCGCGTTTTTCGCATATTCGCGTTTTTCGCGTTCACCTCCGCGCCTCCGCGTAGCCAAGACACACAAAGCGTTTCCACAGAGAACCTAGAGGCCCTCTACATCCGCAGATTGAGGGTTGTGGTGTCGGTAATGACTGCGATATCCAGTTTTGCCAGTGCTATGTAGCTGAATCAGTACGTTCGTGCACTCCCGACGTCTTTGCGAGCTCAATTATGCACATGCGCTCCATTCATGCGTGCGTGAAGGCTCGAGGTTGTAGGTAGGTAGGTATGTAGGCCGGTATGTATGTAAGTATGTACGCAAAACTTTTTGGACCCTGGTTCTATCTCGTGACATAGACTTTAGCCAACCTTTTGGTATTGGATATACAAAACGGGTGATTGAATGACCCATATCCATATGCTCTCCCTCATCCCTGCACTCCCTTCGCTTGATAAGGACTAGGACAGAGATTCTCATTGTAAACCATCAAAAGGTAAGAATGGGCTAGCAGAACCCGTACAGGGAGAACCACGCATGAATCTCGAAACACATACCTTTCTTCCTGATCCCGGCCTCCTTCTCCCAAATCCGAAGACGATGCCTTTGAGCCACAGGCACGGATCTTTAAAGCTTTCATTCATTGCACCGGAACCAGCTGGAAGCCCTGCAAGACAGCATAGAACTGTACAGAAACACTTAACGGTCACCGTAACTAGTACTGTAGTTGCTTATTATTATGAGTTGCACAGGACCTTTACAAAGCTCCATGTCTTCTCAGAAGAAATCTCCGGGAGGTGCCGTGAACCGGAGCGCTCCGGTTCGAGCCACAAGGATCCTCGGCAAGTCTTCACAGTGTTTTTGAGTTTTCTTTGGGGGTTTCGGGGTTCGGGGTTTAGGCTTTAGGGTTTGGGGCTCTAGGGCTTACGGTAGGGTTAGGTCGCAGCTTCTGAAGGTGAGGTTCACAGGAAAAGCGAGTTGGACATGTGAAAGGTACAAAATCACTGCCTACCCCGAACCACTGCCTGACCTGGGCCAACGATATTAACTTCGCTGACAACAACATGAACATAGCAGGTGGCCGAATCCAAATCACCTCGATATGTCGCGAAATACAAAACTTCTCCCCAGATCCTTGAACCCTGAGACCTAATCCCTACTCTGGAAGCCTATCCTGAATCCCGAGATCCCTGAAGTGCCAAACTGCCGCCTCTCAGGCGATTCGGCCAGCATGGCGGCCATGTCGTCTAAGAAGACGCGTGGAGGGCCGCCAGCCCCGGCCGAAAACCGCCATCCGACTCCTCGGGTGTGCCGTTCCTGAGGGAAAAACCACGAAAGTGTCCAACCGCGCTGCTGTCCTGTACATACTCTGATACAAACAAGCAAGGAAGCTAGCAAACGAACAAACACAACGGCACACCCGAAGGGCGACACCCCTGGGCAAAAAACACTACGCACATACACCTATGCGCATATACACATGTAAACAAGACATACGTACATACATACATGAAGGGGCGGTGTCGCCAGGCGATGGCCGAAGCCTACAATCTCCTACACCCCAAACGCTCCAAGGCCCGAAACTTTCAAACTTTAGCGAAATCCCAACAAGCCTCTATCGTAGCTTTTCCCTGCATGAAGGACCAAAAGAGCTCCATCACACTGTGCTTGGGGGTCTTGGTATACTTTAACCCTAAACCCTCAACCGTCTTGCCCCACAGTGCTCCTATAGAGCCCCTAAGGATGCGTTAAGAGGAAGCCGAACACTGGCTTTGACGGCGCGACACCTGCATGCCTGCACCAAGAAACAAAAAGGCTTCCCTTGCCTGTGGGCTGGTGGCGCAATTCAAAAAAACTTGCCTGTTGTGTTGGACGGGTTTCCTCGTCGGGGCCTCGTTTTGATCGACTCCTCTTTTCCGGGGTATGGGTTTTTGCGGTTTAGAGTTTGCAGCGTGTTCGAAAGGTTTTCGGGGTCGAGGGTTTCGGCGTTCGAGGTGTAGTGGTTTTGGGGTGGGTTCACGGCTTTTGCAGGCTCAGGGGATGTGTCGAGCGCTTATGCTGGTTACAGAGTTGGCGTGCTTGTTGCTTCTGCCGGTAGGTACCCTAAACCCCAACACCGGAACCCTGAACTCTAAGCCGTGCTCAGAAGCTTCATCCCTTAGTTTCGGCGGTTTTGTTGTGCACTGGGCCACCCTTGCTAACCGCCTTGAACCTTTGTTGCTCTCGTCTTGGATGATCCGGCCGAGGCAGCCGTAGAATCCCTGGTGCACGGTGACGAAGCCTAACAGTCCCAAGAGGTTTTCAGCCATAAAGAAACCCGAAACCCTAAACCCCAAACCCTGGACCCCCAAAGTTTCCATTATGTTGTAGTTTGAGGCATGTTCCTTGAGTGGGGGGTTTTGGCGTCTCTAGAAAACCTGCACCTATCCAGAGCCTGAGAACCACCCGAGCAGATTTCGAAATTGAACGGTGACTGTCGTGTAGGGGCCTGGAGACTTAGCATACGATTTGGGGGGCTCCTTTAAAGAACAACTATCATGACAAGGAACCCTCAAAGTAGCGTTGGCAATACTCAGGCCCCTAGATTGAGCAAGATTTTTTGGGGTTAGGGGTTTAATGGGTTAGGGTTTTGGGCTCACGGGTTTGGAAATGATTGCAGCCTCAGCATGTCCAAAAGCAGCTTCTGATTCAATGACAGATCCGCAGGAACTAGCAGAGCAAAGACACCCAGACACCCCAAACTCATGCACACACACGCGCCCAGATATGCCCATACATGTATATATGTATGTATGTATGTATACATATATATATATATATATATATATACATTTTATTTATTTATACTTGTATTTATATGTATGTATGTATACACACACTCACTTCTTGCACTGGAAACTTCAGGAAATAAATGAACACACTATAAGTATATAGATACAGACACCTATATATATATATATATATATATATATATATATGTATGTAGATGTCTATCTATCTACCTATCTAACTGTCTCTCTATCTATCTATCTTCCTGTCTGTCTATCTATCTGTCTATGCATACATACATATACACACACATGCATACATACTTATATACGCAGACATGCGAGATACGGGCATGTGGCGGCAGTGCAGAGCTTCTTCGAAGTGGCAGCGGTTTTCGTCGGAAGAGGCCCAAGCAAACTGATTCTGCATCGTTTCGGCCCGTCCTTTCAAACCAAATCTGTCTTGGCCCATGCCACTCAGCAAGAGCAGCCAGCGAAGGGCTCTCACTGTGAAGGAGAGTCATCGCGATGATGAAGATTTCGAGGAGACGACGATGGTGAGGGCCCTCAGTTTCCCAGCTTTGTGGTCAGAACTTTGCAGCAGCTGACTAGGACCAAACCATTCTCCGAGACTCGGTAATTGCGAAGTGCCGCATCATGGATCTCTGCCGATATCTTCGTGGATACATGTGTGTAGGCGTAGACTAGGGATTTACTGTATTCTGTTAGATGATGTTCTGCTTGATTCTGCTTGGTAATTTGTCAGCACATTACCCAAAGCTGTATCGCACGTTATGCATGTGTATATAGGTATACGCAGACAGTTACCTTAGCCCAGTTCCTAGTTCCCCATATTAACCCAATGGCAAGTATACAGAACCAGATGACCGCAAAGTCGTCTCTATTGCCCGTGCTTTCTGGCCGGGGTGGTCATGCAGAATGTACTCCGGGGCGATGCCGTAGTGAGCGGAGCTGGAGGGTCTTTGTCCGGTTCATGTCTGAGCGTGTGAAAGCATCGATCGCACCCGCGGGTCTCAAACTCGGTGTTTGAAAGCCCGGGGTCTGAAGTCTCGGATCCAGGTGCTGGCAGCGCTGCCTCTGCTGGTGGCTTCGGTGGTGCCTTTGCGTCGGTAGTGGCCTCGGCAGCCACGACACTCGCGCTGTTGAGTTTGGAGCCGTGCGGCAGGGGCGTGAGGTTTCGGGCTCTGGGGTTTGAACGTCCTCAGAGTGGATCGGGGCGGATGTTCAATCTGGCTGTATGTGCGCCTGACAGACACCCACCACCCACCTTTCAAGTGTGTCTGTCATGCTGCACGGTGCAGATTCCTGACTTCAGAGTGGATGTTGCAGCCAAGTTTCAAATGTTATCGTGTTGCTGATGTCGTCTGGCTTACTAACGGCGCCGGTCTGTTTAAACCCCCCTCTCTGTCCAGAGGCTGTTTCGCGACTCGAACTCTTTAAAACTAATGCGCGAACCATTTTTTTCAAAGGGACCTCGATGATCTCAGCCCTGCGGACAGTGTGGTACTCCAAGGCGAATTCTTTCCAGCGACGCGGGCGTGCTGGGCGCTGCCGGCCGGGCGTTTGGTATCGGCTCTTCAGTTCGTTTTTAAAGGGGAGGCCATTCGAGGAGCTTCGCACGCAGGTAGCCTGGCACCGCCATCAGCCTTGACCATGCTTTGAACCTGCTGCACGACCTTGGAGCCGTGAGTGACCTCACCGAGAAGACTTTGGCCCCTTTGGGCGTGGCACTGGCGAGGCTGGCAAAGATGCTGCTGCTAGCAGTTCCTTTCAGGTGCCACCACACGATGATCAGAATCTGCGCATACCCCATGCGCCGGGAAAACGAAGCAAACCGGGCCAAGGCTGCCTTTGCCCAAAGGTCTCAAATCGGACCTCATCGCAGTTGTCAACGCGTAGGAGGGAGAAGCGATGCCCATGACAAGTTTATGCATTACAACTTCAGAGAATGGAGTACATCCATCGCCTCCGTGAGGATCTTCTGTCCTGGAAGGAGCTGGAGAATGGGAATGCCAGGATCATAAGGACCCAGTTATCCTGGCAGACTCCTGCAAAGCCGTTCTGACCGCAGCTCTCTACCCCAATGCGGCACTTCTGTTTTGCGACGGCAGAGGCCGCACGATCCAGGGCTTGCTAGTTATGGTCCATCCAAGCAGCATGAAGGCGAAGGAGCCGTGGTGGAACCAAGTGGTGTTTTACGAGATTCAAGAGACCACCGAGGGATTGCCCCTTTGCTTCTCTCTGCGCGCGCACTGGAAGAAGTACACCGGGGCGCCGTCCAATCTTCGAGCTCTCACCAGCATCGCACGTCGCGGTGGAAGTGCCAGTTGCAGATCTTCTGAAGCATTGCAGTGGCGGGTGGCAGGTTTCAAGGTTTGCTGATCTGAGCTCGTCTTCGCTGGATGAAAGAGTGTGGGGACTGTTTAGTTTTAGAGGTCTGGTCTGGCACCTGCTATACTGTGCACCGGCAGACGGTCTTGATATGCAGCTGTCGTTTCGCTGTGTCTCTGTGTGCATGTTCTAGCTTGCTTCCTGTTCGGCTCAGAGCCCACTCGCGCCCGGAATTCTTTGACTCAGAGAGTTTCTTGGCATGCGATTGAAGCACGTGTTTGAGTCCTTCCCTGCCTCGCTTTTTTTGATGAAGTTGTAGTCTTATGCAGCTAAGCGGGGATAGCCCAAGTTATGCGTATGCAAGGCTTTGCTAAGGCCAGCTGAGTACAGGACCTCGGTTACAAGACGTGAGGCCGCTAGGTGGCCCCGGAATCCCATTGTCACGTCTGATCTCAAGACATCAACAGATGGGTGCGGAAGGCGACGGCGGGACGACGACGATTTTTGCTGGTACTGTTATAGCCTAACCTTTTGTGTTACATGGGCCCATGAAATTTTTCCGGAGGCGTCTTCTTGAAAAGCCGACGGTGGGCAGTCGCAAGAGATCTTGTTTTAAAGAGACGATCAACGTTTTAAGCTTCCAGGTCCTGCACCACTCGGCACAGTTGTTCAAGGCCAGCGGGGGG